GAGATAAGGAGGAACTTGCGCAGGCAGCAGAATGCTGGATCTCAGAGGCAGAGAGAAGGGGAGGCGGAAGTCCCACACTTGCAGTGATCTCGCTAAAGCTATTTAACAGTTCTTTGTCAAGTTGTCTAATGTTTACTCCTGTTGAATCCTCCCTCCCCCGCCACGGATTTCACGGTGGTGTCTGATTTTACTGGGGCACCTTCCCTTTCTTCAGGGCCCAGAGTCCGCTCCAGCCTCAGAGGTGAGTCAGTCCTTGAATGTCCCAATTCTGCTGTTCTGCGGAAAAGGATTCCTGAACAAATACGTCCTCCCTCCCTAGAGAGCCAGGTCTCCATCTGCCTGTCTCTGGCCTAATTTGGGGACTGAGAGAAACAGGATACATTTTGTTTTTAAATTGTTTCTTACAGAATGTCCTCTGGTTAATATTATGTCCTTGATCTTGGGGAGGACACACCTTCTTGAGCAAACGTGGGGGTCCTACGTAAACAAACCTCTATAAACTTGCCTCCTCCTTTCGACTTTCCCTCACCAGCAACCCAACTGGCTACTTTCAGCACTGAGTCCCCTTCTCTTTTACTGGCCTTTGTTTTTAAGAGAGTCGCTATCAGCATAAGAAATGAAGTGGCTGAGTCTTGATGAGCCTGTAATAATCTTTTTCTTTTTCTTTTTTTTTTTTAAGTCCTGCAGAAAGCTGAATGCTGGGTGAATGACAGCTTCTGGCTCCTGGGACGTGAGGCATGGACAGAATGATGGGAAATGAACCCATCTTAGGGCAAGGATGTGGGAGTCGCCCTTTATTCCACCTGAACAGTATGGCAAGGACCCTGTGCTGGGACCCACTGGGCCACCCGCAGCTGCTCTGGCTTAGCAGCTCCTGAGGATGGAATTAAGCTGTAAACTGCTCTAACAAGAATGGAGGGAGATTGGGGAGGGTGCAGGGAGCAGATCATCCCTAATCTTTTAGGGCCCTGGGGGCTGTGGGTAAGCAGATGGGGAAAGAAAAACAAAAAGAGAAAGGAGGAAGCTGGCTGGCTCTTTGAAGGGGAATGCCTACATTGCAAGATAATTCTAGAAATTAACAAATACAATGCACAGTTAGGTGCCTGGGGGACGCACCTGAGCTTGATAAATGTGCCTGCATCAAAATTGAAAACTGTTCCTCAGCCAGGCTGTGGTCAGGGGCAGGAATATATAAAAACTACAACCAGCTCCCTAAAGCACTTTGGTTGACCAGCGGCTGAGCAACACACCACCGGGGGCTCCGGGTGGGTTACCTTCATCAGTTTGCAGGCGAGAAACCCAAGGCTCAGAGAGCCCGAGTCGCTTTCCAAAAGGCACAGAGCTGAAAAGCGACAAAGTCAGGTCTTGAAGGCCAATCTTCCAAGTCCAATATCTCATGCTTTTGGGGGGAACGTTCCACGTAAATCAGTCAGGAGGCTGACCTATGAACGAACACCATCATTTTTTATTCTAAAATAAAATGAAAAGCTAACCTTTTCCAGGGAATAGAGAGGAAGAAATCTGCTCGGTGGTTGCCTATTTGGGGAAAAGCAAACAATGTAGTGACTCTTTGTGACCCGGGCACTCAGGAGACCTCAGTGAACCTTAGCCAGTCGCGTTAGCACCATTTTTAAAGCAGATAAGAGTCCGTTCCCTGATAGAACAAGTGGCAGAAAAATGCACGAGGACACAGGATAAGATTTAATGAGAAATTTTTTTTTGGTGCCAGACACCAGGCTAGGCTCCTTAGATAAATTACCTTGTTAGTTCTCACACTACAGGTGCTTCTATTGTCCTGGTTTACAAGGGTGACAACCAAGGTCAAGGAGGTGACGCAACCTGCACAAACTCACAGAGAGACGACACGGACTAACTGTGGTTCTAACCCGGGCCGGCCTCAGTTTCCCAACACCAAGCTAAAGGCTCCCACGGGGCTTGGCAGGAGATCCCCCTTGTGGAGGCCTGGGCTGTGCTGGGATTTAGGGCTCCATTCCACGAGAATCTAAATGTCTGGGTGATGCATCCGCTGATGTGTGAGGCACAATCCTTAGTCTTAAAATAACAAATGCCCATCCTGAAAGCCAGCGCATTTCAATGTCGCATAAATCCTTTTGTAACGATCGCTTGGTGTCACTGGCTTATTTAAATGGACACATCAGTTCTAACAGGGATTTTTCCCATCGGCTCTGCCCGGCCCGTGGAGCAAGAAGGGAAACAGCTCACTGCCATGGCATTGGAGGTGGGAACTAGAGGTGGTTTAGATACTTGTAAGTCTCCTGACCTCACATTCTGAAGCAAACTGGGAGGGGCAGGAGAGAACATGCCATTTTTGTCATAATAAATTCCCTGGCATGCTACATTTTTCTTCTCCCTGCAAACCCCAATGGATGACTGATGGTTCTGTCTACCCCAGATAATCATGACCCCGGTGCCGCGTCCCCGAGACTCTGCCGTATATCTCCATGTGACATTTTCTATTATTCTACGTTGTCAGAGACAGAAACTAAATACACAGCAGGGTTTACCTGAGATTGCCCTTCTCCCAACCGACACACATGGGTGTCTCCAGCTTTCCCCAAGCCTGGAGTGAATGGGTTGGAATCCAGGCGCCAAAGGGCAACAGGGGGTGAACAAGCAGAGAGCACCTTCCCATTAGGCCACCGTGGGTTCCTAAAGGGTCCAGCCTCAATGGTGCTGAGGAAAGAGCCTCTGGGGAGGCTTGCTGGAAGGCGAGACAGGGTGCCCGGTTTTATCGGAGAAGACTCTTGGGGCTTCTGCCCCAGGGACATCCTGCAGAGCCTTCTCACAGGGCAGATTCTTGTCGCCCCCTCCCCACCCCCAGCGACACCCCCCACCCCGGTCCCTCAGCAAGACCCTTCTAGGGCAGAGTCTATAATTGTACATTTTCAAAAAGTATTCTTGATCCTGAAGCCACTAAGGCTCAAGCTAGGAAGTTTAAGTTAGTAGTGAACACCACAGGCTCCTTACTTACCAGTCCACCCTCCAAGCTTTAGTTCCTGGTGTATAAAAACAAAGAGAATAGCGCCTGTCTCCGGGGGTTAGTGTGAGGATCCGATGAGATTAACACCTGCGAAGCATCTGGCGCAGTGCCCGGCCAGTGCTCAGCTGGTAGGGGAGGCGCTGCCTTGCCCAGTAACAAAACACAGTGGTACCTCAGCGCTCATCGGTAATTCGTTCCGGAACTCGTGATGCATGCCGACACTGACGAGCACTGAGCAAGTGAGGGGTGATGAGTGCATTTTCTCTTGCGGGGTGGCGTCTTGACTCATACAAATCCTAGCAAGTGCAACAAGTCCCTAGAAAGTGCCGAGCGCTGAAACTCTTCTTTCTCATCAAAATGCGATGAGTACAGGGTTTGACGAGTTCTGAAGCCCCTGAGTAGCGAGGTGTGACTTGACTGAAATACGTATAAACTGAGCCCCTTCATTCCCCTCCCCCCACACCCGCCCCTCTCAGGGACTCCCCAGAAATCCCCACCATCCTGCAACTCAAGGGTTCATGCCCAGCATAGCCTGGGAGCCTCCAGGAGGTAGATGAAGGAACGGGTGCTTGAAATTCCTCACTGGTAACCTCTCAGGCGATAACTAACGCTTGGTAGGTGTGTTACAGGGGAAAAATAACTACAGACAGCGAGGCACGCCTACGTCAGCAAAGGAATGCGGCCCGTGTCAAAGGATGGCCTTCAATACGGGGCTCCCTGACTGCCACCTCTGTCTGCTCAGGACATTGGCTCCAGACCTTTCTTTCCTTGTTCTGTTACAGCTGTGGCCCTGCTCTCTGAGCCCATCTCTTCCCTCTGCAAGCTTGATTCTCCTTTTTCTTTTTCTGAGGTCCTGTGTTTATACCTGACCTCCCCGGACCCTCGGCTCTCAGACTTGATTGAGGCCTTTTCCCACTAGGGCCTCCAGGACAGGTGTCATCTATCACCTGCCGGTGGCACCATCCCCTGAAGACACTGGCCCCAACGCGGGACAGCCGGTCTCAGGTGCCAGGCCCAGCACTTCCCGCCTGACCCGCCCTGCAGCTGCCTGAGCTCCAAGTTCCAGCCCCGGCACAGGTCACGGGTCTGCATCCTCTGAGACCAGGGTACCAGGGCGGTGGCAAAGGCGGGCGGGAGGGAAGGAGGCAGGAGGATCCAGAGGTGTTTCAAAGAGAGACACTGGCAGGACCTGAGCCTACAGAGGGCGGGGCGGCTCCCATTTCCTTCTTTACATGCTCCACGGGGTTCCAGGCTGTGCGGCCAGCCTAGCGTCAGGCCCAGTACACGGCCAGCATTCAACCGACAGCCACTGAACAGAGAATGAACCAGTGCCTGAATGACACTATGAACAGAGAGAGGAAAGAGGAGACACAGTTTGGCGTTAGCAACAAGGTAGGATAATGGATTTGATTTTAGACACAGTGTGTTTAACGGCTGTGGCATTCCTAAGCACCTGTTGCCAAATATTTCTGCCTTTTCTCCTCTGCGCACACGGCCAGGGTACACCGCCCCACGCCCCTTGAAGGTAAGCATGGCCGCCTGACATGCTTTAGCCAATGAAATAGCAGAAATCATGTTGCTTCGGACCAGAAACTTTCCGAGTCAGTGTATCATCTGCTACTGCCCTTCCTATGCAAGTTAGTAAACACTCAGGCGATTTCTCTTGTGCTGAGAAGCTGAAATGTTGGGGTTGTCGCTGCAGAATGATCTCTGGTCTACGTGAACGGAGCCAAGGTGCCACGGGTTACACTCATAAAGATCTAAGATCTGATCGGAAGGTCCCCCAGGAGAGGGGCTTTTAGGTGAGACCCCCACAGACAGCTGAGGCTCCATGGCTACTTTGCCCGTAATGGCAGCACCAAGAAAGAAGTAGAAGGTCCCCAGGCAACCAGGTGGGCCCACACCTGTGCTGTGGCTTACCTCTTCTCCCCAAGGGAGGAGCCTGAGTCCTCACAGGCCCTTTATAACCCCCGCCACTCCCTGCGCCCTCAGGACTTACCTGTATTGTAGCCCCTTCCAAGGGCGGGCCAAGGGCGGTGATTCTTCCACAGGTTTCCAAGGTACCAATCACTCTGGTTCTCTACCAAGCCCAGGACCTGCTGACCTGTGAAGGACAGAGAATGCAAAGGTGCTCAAAAAAGCCGAGGCACATGGGTCAGTGAGCTCCAAAAGGAGGCGGAGTGACGGCAAATCGCAGCAGGCGCTTTCATCACTGCGAGTTTTCATGAACTGCCAGGCTGTGGCCCAAGCGCTTAACATGTATTAACCTACTGACTTCCCACCCGCAGGCGGCCCCTCGGTTTGCATTATCCCCATTTTATGGAAAAAACACGGAGGCCGCCAGAGTAGTTAGTTAGGGCGCCCAAGGCCACCTAGTCAGTCTGCAATGGAGCCAGAATCCCACGTGATTCATTCCTTCACTCACTCACTCATTCTTCACCTCTTGCAATGTACATTTTTTTGACATACTACTCTTCAAGTGCTCCAGTTCTAAATTTCCCATTACATACTAATGTACTGGCTCTCCAGGCATGAGTTGAGAGGATTCTCACGTCAGAGAGAAAGGAGTGACCCCGTTTGATGAGATGGGAACCCACGGAGAAGAGCCACCTCTTGGCTACCTTCACAGGGCTTTTAACTCTCACAGTCCACAAGCTTCATGCCAACATCACATCGATTCAGGGGTGTTCTGTAGAGGAACAACTGCTTCTGTGTCCCCAGAGCAAGTCCCTGGGCCTTTAAAGCGGGGTAAGTCGGGCATCAGATCCAACTGCCTTCCATCAGGCAACCCCATCGCGGCCAGCTCTTCTCGTGGAATTAGTATCAATACCACTTTACAGACTGGGAAACTGAGGCTCACGTAGGACCAAGACTTGTACAACTGGTGACAGAGTCGGCATGTCATTCCCTGTTAGTCAGATGCCCAGATTCCTTCCGCTGTCCCAGTGCGTTATCGTTTACCTTTATGACAATGATTTGTGATAGAACTTACAAATCCACATCCTCTACGAAGAGAAACTTAGGCTTAGAAAGTCGAAATAATGTGCTAAAGGTCACATGACAAATAATCACTGTCTTCCACAGCTCAGTGATGCCTTTGCGAGTTAGAATCCTCACATTGTCGGCCAGTATGAGAAATAAGGGCCTTCTGACCAGATGAAGCCCAGCAGCGCGCTCCGAAAGCAGCGGTTCTCCGGAACACCGTGCTGGGTGATGTAGAACCTCCTCGGCATGCTGACAGCTCCCTGAAATGATGGTGTGTGGGTTTGCTGTAATTTACTTGATCAATTTATCGAGCTCCTATCTAAATCAACACCCCAGCACAAATACATAAATTAGAGGCATGGGAAAAACACTACCACCCACTTTGTCATTCTATATGATCACATCCAAAACTTGTAGCATCCCTCAGAAAAACATCACCAATTCGGGGAGAGCAAGAGCCCATCAATTCCACACACAACAAGCTTGGGGCGTTTGTGCAAAACAGTCAGATCTACGAGGCATGGTGCCCTCAGCTGAGAAAGCTGTGTGCCCACTTAACGACCTTACACAGAGGTGATGACACGAAGGGGACAGGGCGTCCTTGGGGGAGCTGGTTCGTAATTACTCGTGACCCCAGGTTGATGCTACAATTATTTTTTTCAGCATGATGAAGGGCGCCGGGTGCTCACAACTGACAAACACCACCCCTGACAATGTCTAGAGCATCATAAAATGTTCTGTAGGTATTTCTAGCCTCACACCCAGAACTCCCCGCCCCATATACTGCCCCATCTGCTTGGCTTCAGACATCTGCAGTCTCGGCCACCTCCTCCCTTCCTTAGCTGATGTGATCCTTACTTGACCTCTACTTTGGTTCAGTTGAATATCGATTGAGAGTTTGCTTTGTGTCAGACACTGCACAAAATACGAAGGGCTTAAAGATAAACAAAATATAGTCCTTGCCCTCGAGGCAGCCAGAAGAGGAGACCGATAAACCATTATGAGGCAGCATGGTACTTGCAGCGATAGGAAGCGCTGATGGGTCAGAGGCGGGGAGGGCAGGGAACAGCTGATGCTATGGAGGGCAGTGGGGCGCGAAGACTGCTTGAGGTCCTGCTGGAGCTGCCTACCGCCTCCTCTCCTGCCCTGTAGGGGACCCTGCCCTTCCCCTTCCGCACACACTCCCCAACTCCCAAGCTTCCCCCAAAAGCTTTTCTGAGGATGGTGCTGTCCCACAACACCTGCCTAGGTAGAGAGTCCCTCTGGTCCCCAGTTGCAGCGCCTATGAGACTATGGGTCATCTTTTACAGGTGGCATCTGCAGCCCAGTCTGCAGAGGTCAGGGTCTCAGTCCTGCACCTTGATGATGTCAACACATCGTGGGCCTGTCATCCCATTAAGAGGCCGGATCCCAGGGCATTCCTCTTGGGGTGAAGGCGCAGGCTGCCCGGGAGCTGCCTCCCCCTCGGCATCGTGGCATCCCAGGCTGCCTCATCTGCTGCGGAGTTATTGCAATAAAACACCGTGACTAACAGAAAAGGCTCTGTCACTGTTTTCCATGCTGGCCCTGTGGTTATGATGAAGTGCACTGTTCCCCGGATTCCTTACTCTAGGCACAAGTTAACTTATGAAAATGAAGCTGTCTTCTTTGCTTATTCATACATCACCATGAACAGCCAGACAAGAGCGAACAAGCTTGCTATTCTGCTGGGGCCCTGGTGTCCTGTCACCAGCCGGCAGACGGATGGTGCCAGGCTGGGAACTCCTCTCCTCCTCCTCCTCCTCCCTTAGCTTTGGGCTCAAGGCAGGGCCCTGCTGATTGGAGGTGGGGACCCAGGAGGAGGGACTGGTGACACTTCTGTGTGGCACCTGAGGCTTGGAAAGGGCAGGCTGGGTGTTCACCTACCAGGTACGAGGAAGGCAGCATGGCAAATCAGAAAAAGGGTTTTTAATACAGGCAAAGCAGGGTTCCAGCCCTGGTACTGCAGGGTTTGACTGAGGTATAACTCTCCTGAGCCTCAATTTCCTTATCACAGGTGGCTAGAATGGAATTTACCTTCTGCTTCCAGAAAGGATGTGCAGATCAAATGAGGTAACATATGCAGAGTGTCCTGGCTCATGGTAGAAAAAGTGGAGGCTGCCCAGAGTAGTTAGTTAAGTTGCCGAAAGCCACCCAGCTAATCTGCAATAAAGCCAGAATCCCATACCATTCATTCATTCATTCATTCATTTCTTACCTCTTGCAACATATTTTTTGACATACTATTCTTCACGTGTTCCAGTTCCATTATTTCCCAATATATACTAGTTTACTGCCTTTCTGGACATGAGTTGAGATGAATGAATGGTTTAATGAAAAATAAGTATCATCAAAAATCACCATCCCGTCCCATTTGGAATAGGTGGACTCTATCAAAATGGGGTGGAAGTAGGTGTGTACTAGGTCACCTCTCCAGGTAAGCACCAGGAGCAGGTAGCACTGGCTCTGACCACAGATGCTTCCAGAGTTGTCTCCTTTTTCCCCATCCCCAGGAAAGGGCCTGGGTGCACAGGGGTAGACTGCCAATCACTACTGCATAGCAAATCAGCTGTGCTTCTGCCAGCAGGTGAGTATTAATATATTAAAACCAGAGGCTCTCCTGACTATTAACAGAGAAAGCAACAATGCCCTTCTGACACGATATTTATTCTAATATGCTATTTTATAACAGAAAAGCCTTCAATAGTATCATTCAGTGCATGTCTGAGCGCAGGATGGCTGTAATAAGGAAAACACATCATATCACATCACGATTTATTAAACATCCTGAAAGAATCGCTCTGCTGGTGGCTCCGACGAGTGGGTGCAGAATAATAAAACATCTCCTGAGAAGACGCAACACAAAAGGGTATTTAGACAGCCCTGAATGGGTTGAAAAAGACCATTTCTGAACTTGCATGTTTCCCAGCTCCAGCTAATGCACTCGGGGATCACAGAAGTTCACAGGAGCCGAGAAGATCTCAGCAGAGGCGCTGGAACCGCCTGCGTTTACAGACGGAGCCCAGAGAAGGGCGGGGCGTGGGAGCACGCCGTGGGCGGAGCGGCGCGTGCCGCAGCCACCACCGCTGTGCTCAGGTTCCCTCCGCACGTAAGCTCCTCCTACTCGGCCCCCTCTTTCCTCGAACTTGAGTGTACTTCTCATTTGGGTCAAATGTTAGCTCTTCTACACTGGACTGCAACCTTGGGTCCATTTCTTCTGCACGACGGTAAAGGTATCCATTTCATACCTGGGACCCGGAACCAGGTTTATGCACCCCAAGTAGAGCACATGCCCTGGAGATGGAACCCATGTGCTCCAACTTAAAAGGTCCTTTGGTCCATCATTTTGTTTCCTTGAAGAGGTAAGTTTATTCATTGCTTAGCCAGCCTTGATTTCATATGGAGATAAACATCCTGCCCTTGCTGACCTCCACAGCTGAAGGAGATAGTCCCTTGTAAGGGGAATTAGAGTTTGTCCCTTGAGAAGGTAGAATGAGGTTGAATGAATGAAGATTAAAGAGAGATCGATTTTTGCTTATTATAAGCCAGGCCGTAAGTAACCATTAGAGTTCACCAACACAGACAGAAATGAGCTGCCTTTCTGGGACCGGGCGGGGGGCAGGGGGCAGAGTTTCTACGCACTGGAATTGTTCTGGAAGAGGCTGCCCGCATCAGCTCTCACCCAGCAGGTATCCACTGAGTCCCTACTGTGCGCCAGGCTCCACGCCAGCTGCAAGAGACACAGCAGTGAGGAAAACAGACCAGCCCCTGCCTTCTGGGTTTGGTGATCTTTATAAAGCGCGTCTCAGTGGTCTGGCTACTGGCTTCCAGGCAACACCCCAAACCTGACGGAGGCCGGTTCTCCCAGGGTCAGGCCTGGGGATTTCTTTGCAAAGGGCGGCCCATTAATCCTGGTGCCCAGCAGGGTCGGCGGCTGTGGGAGTGGGAGGCCACCCAGCAGGCATGTGATGGGGCGGGGGTGGGGGTCCTGTGCTGAGCAGACGAAGAGATCAGATGACCTGGAAGCTCCCTTCCAAACTGACGGTGGGATCTCCTTATTTAGGCCGACAGCGAGGGGGCTTTCTCAACAGCCCCCTCCTG